TGTTTTGGTCTCCAACTCTTTTGTGGCAGCAAAGGTCTCAGGTAGTCGAACAGAGACACCAGAAACGCTTATTTCCTGATTCAGGTATTTGATAATCCTTGCAAGATTTATTACTTTTACGCTCTGATTTTTATTCAAGGTAGCATGTTATCATTATATAAAGTTGGTATATAAAGATCTATGCTTTCCTTACTGTATAGACTTTATAGTCAGGTATGAATATAAAAAGTTATCAACATCGACATGGCGTCATCATCCCAGCCTCCCATCGTGTTTGCCACACACCAACAGCTCACTCGCCAACATTCCGGCTCGTGGGCAGGCAGGATGCTCAAGCCGATGGGGAAGAAGCACGTGCTGGACGAGTGGCGCAGCGCTCCGCTAGGTGCGCCTAGTGGGCCGAAGCTGCCAGCGCACTTACGTCCCCTTCTGGTGCCCAACGGGGCCGCGTTGAGGCTGCAACTGCGCTATCAAAAGTACCAGGACAAAGTGCGCAAGCTGCTCAAGAAGACGGACGCGAGCCAGCAGCAGGAGCACGCAGCCAAAGCCTCAGGCCGCGTTGTAGCCACGTCGAGTATGGCATTAGCAGTGGCCCTCCAGGCCAAGGAGATCAGCGCAGAGCAGCCCAAGAGCGCACCTCTGCACCTGAAGTCTGAACAGATGGACAAGTGGACCTTGGAGCAGGACTGGACGACACTGCAAGAAGAAGCGCCCTTAATACAGGACTGTGACGACGACAAAAGTGATTGTACACGGCAACACGGCTTCGTCAACGTGATGGAGCCGACGTGGCTGCTGTCGTCTATTGACCAGCGTTGCGCCGAGACAGCGAGCTCACTGATAACGCAGAGCTCCACCAAGGCTCAGCCAAGTCTGGCACGACAGCTAGCCGACGTGAGATTAGCTGTACTGGATTTACTCTTCATCTGTCGCTCTGGAGTTGATGTGAACTTACGTGGAAGACCTCCATCATCAGTGGACATACACCACCGAAATCTCATTGAGAGGGTGGAAACCTCGAACCCAACGGAGCTGAAACGTGTAACTCAGATCTTTGAGAGCTTAAAGTCCGACATGTTCATGCCTGCTGTGCGTTGTCTGGGCTGGCTGCTCACTAAGACGTGGCGACTGCTATTCAACGGACTCCACGTGGACTTGGAGTCTCTCCATCATGTTCGTCGTGTACTGGAAGCGTCTGAAGGAGACGTGAGCGTCGTATTCGCACCTACACACAAGAGTCACTTGGACTATTTGATCATCAGCTATTTGTGCTTCGCTTACGGCATTCCTTTGCCTCGTATCGCAGCTGGTAACAACTTGGATTTACCATTGGTGGGCTCCTTTTTACGTGCGAACGGCAGCTTCTTCATCCGTCGGTCGTTCAAGAACGATAATCTCTATAAGGAGGTGTTGGAACAATACGTACACGAGCTACTGGAGGATGGGAACCCTGTGGAAGTCTTTATTGAGGGTGGACGATCACGTCATGGACGAGTGTGTAAACCCCGCTTAGGGTTTATGTCGATGTTCCTTAACTACGTTAAGGGAGCGTCCGATGACGCTAATAAGGAGAAGAAGACGGTCCTGGTCGTCCCTATCTCGCTGGATTATGACAAAGTGTACGAGGTCGATGGATACGCCAACCAGCTGCTTGGTAAGCCCAAGGAGAAGGAGAGTCTGGCTGTTTTGTTTCGGTCTGTATGGGACCTCTTCTTCTTACGTCTTGGCCACTCGTACGTGCGCTTTGGAGAGCCTGTACCTCTTACAGAGACGTCGTCACTTGAGACTTCCTCGGACCTAGTAGCCCAGCGCATGCAGACCTCTGGAACAATTACGTCGACTGCGATAATAGCTGCGCTACTCATGTGGAAACGCGCATATGTGACGCAAGAAATGCTGGAGACTCGCACTGTGTGGCTCGTAGAGGAGCTGGAGAAACGTGGAGCCACTGTAGCTCACGTGGAGAATGATGATATCACTGCTCACGCTCTGTCAATCCTGAATGTGGAGACGAGAGCTAATGACATTGTGACGCCTCACTTGCAGTACCCAGTGCGAGCTCTGGAGTTGGGCTTCTATCGTAACCATTTGCTCCATATTTTCCTACCTGAGATGGCAGTGATTGGCGCTGTGGATGCTGCGTTACGTCAGCGTTCTAAATGTTACGAAAGTTACACAACCCACAAAGTGGATGTCTGGGTAATCAAGCAACAAGCACAGAAGATCTGGAACTTTTTACGTCACATTTGTCGACACAAACCTATTGACGTTGACGCTCGTGTGGACCAGTTCTTTGCTGAAGCTTCGGAGTGTAAAGTGGACGAGTCTTCGGGCACAGTGACGGTGGATGTGACCAACTGGAACATTTCGAAGTTGATGAGCTTCGTGTTGTCTTTAAACTGGTCCTTCATGGACTCGTTGTGGCTCACAACGCAGGGACTCTGGAGTCTTCTTGAGGACGATATTGAACACACAGAACGCGATCTTGTGCGTCGCGTGCAGGTTCTAGCGAAGGAATTGTTCCTGCGGCAACAGCTGCGTCACGCTGAAGCTTTGTGTAGTGAGAGTATTAAACAGTCTTTGGACTTCTTGGTGGAGAGTGGAGTGGTGCGTTTCGAGCGCTCACAAGATGGCAAGTCGAGGCTGTTGCGTCTCTGTGCAAACGTACGCGACCTTGAGGATCTCACGAGTGAGGTAAATGCACGTCGGAAACCTCGCTCATTCTTGTGGCGTGAGGACGAGCTGCCACGTAACTTGACACGAGAGGAAGCACTGGAACTCATGGAAGGAGCGCAAGGCTCCCGTAGCATCTACGCTAAGTGGATGGCGCCACCGACCACGGCCTAAGTTAATCGTAATATTGCGTAGACAACAAGAAAGTTGAAATGTTACGTTTTGTTTACGACCACCTAGAAAGCGATGTAGCCATCTAATCCCTGTCTAAGGTGATAGGAGTTCAAACGTGCGGCTGGTGGATATGTTGCTGCTCCGCTTGCATTCTTCCGCTGCTCTACGTGCGTCTAGGGTTCTTCCTCCGTTGCTACAGCGCAGTGTGCCACATACTGGGTCTTGTGTATCGTTCAGTACTAGTCAAAGTGCCAGTGACGGCTCCCAGCCACCTGTACACGTCCCCGTATTGCTACAGGAGACTGTTGCTGCCTTATCTCGGAATGTTTCCGACGATTCCAAGCCGCATTACTTCGTGGACGGCACTGCAGGCTTTGGAGGCCACTCGAGAGCCATTTTGCAACGCTTTCCTGAAGCTAAACTGCTCTGTATTGACCGCGACCCCGAAGTTTTGAGCATCGCAAAAGCCAATTTGGCCGAATTCCATGGCCGCGTAATCTTCCAGAACGGATCGTACGCTGAGTTGGCAAAACATTTGGAAGCTGCTGAGTTCCCGGATGAAGTGGACGGGATTCTCGTTGATTTCGGGGCCAATAGCTTCCATTTTGACGCTGCGAGACGTGGCTTTAGTGTGCTGAATGACGGACCATTGGACATGAGGTTTAACCAGCGAGATTCTACTCTACCGACCGCAGCAGATGCAGTGAACACGCTGTCAGAAGTGCAGCTCACGAAGATCTTCAGAGATTACGGAGAGGAAAGACTAGCAAAGGAGTTTGCCAAGGCCATAGTGAGGGAACGAGAGGAGAGAGGCAAAGTGTTCGAGACCACGAGAGATCTACGTGAATGTATTGAACGTATCGCGAATATGTGGAAATCGGGAGACAAAACGAAGAAGAAGAAGAAGAGCAAACGCGCTAGTAAATTGGGCAGTACACACCCCGCCACGCGTTGCTTCCAGGCTCTGCGGATTTATGTGAACGACGAGCTTTACCACGTTGACAATGGCGTGAAGCAGCTCGTGAACCATTTAGCGCCGCATGGACGACTCGGTAAGCATGCAACTGACGTTGTTGGTGTATTGTGTTAACCACTAACGATGTGCTTGGATGGTAGTGACCATCGCGTTCCATTCATTGGAAGATCGACCGATTAAGGACTTTTTCCGCGATCTAGTACGCTCTAAATTCTAGAAATGGACATGTTGTATATTTTCTAACCTTCGTTTTACAGGACATGAAGGGTAGAATTGGAGACGATGAAGAGGATGAGTGGGAATATGAAGATATTGATGAAGAAGATGAAGACGAAGAGATCATCGATCCATTAAAGAACAAGCGCTTCCGCCTCCCACGTCGTAAAGCCACCAAAGCTACAGATGAAGAGATCGCAATCAACTCACGCTCCCGTAGTGCACGTCTACGCTGTATCGAGCGCATTCTTTAATCAAAAACACAAAGACCATCTTGTTGTCAACAGACCAATGCGTTACTTTGGCTGTTAAGCCACTCGGTCCATACTCATACTCACAGATCCTTCCTCATCGGACCTGAAGACAACGCAATCTGGTTTTTGAACTCTTCCAGATTATAAATGCGACGCCAGTCCACCGGTCGCTGTCCTGGTAGCCCCAAAAAGTCGACAATGTTGTTTACAACACCTCGAGAATACGCACGATCGAGATTTTCGTTCTTGACGACCTCGTTCGTCGTGAGAGCCGCACACATGAGGTAAACGTGGAAGAACAACATGTACGCGATCCACGCGATCTGCACGACGTCCAGCAACATGACGCAGAACAAAAATGGCTGGAAATGAGCCACACTCCAAATCCAGTCGAACAATCCGGGAGTACCGACAGCTGCAACATTTTCACCCGAAAGAAAAGCCCACAACGATGTGTTCCACTTCCAATATTGCCAGTGAACAGTAAAGTCCGCCACAAGTTTCGGTTGAGCACGAGCAAAACGCCAACACGCGATAAGTTCCAAACTAATTGACAATACGGCCGAGAAGAGGAATCCCAGGAAAGCTGCATGGTTGCGCGCACCAATGGCGTTCACTACAAAGGGGCAGTAGTGGTCGAACTTGGCGATACAAGAGTTTGTTTCTGCGCAGTGTTTCCCACGTAGCGGTCTCTTGTGTAAACATGTAAGACACAACTTAGTCGCGCTGGGTAACTTGGATTCGACGAGATAACGAATGTTCTAAGAGGAATGGTAATCAGTTATTGTGTCTTTTGAAGTGTAGAGCAGCTTAACGTACATGAAGCTTCTCGTCGTATGATGTGAACACCTCGCCCGGGTCGGATGTGGCTGTTTTAAACAATGTGACACCGATCATAGTGCAGGATACTGCTGTAATGGCACAAAAAGTAGTACTGCAGTAACCACAGAATCGAGGAAAACTGCCAACAAGATACACGATGGACGCGACGTTGACTCCGAACATAAGCGATGCCGCCTTCCTCTTGTCACCGTAGGAGCCTCGCTGAACCAGTTTAAGTAGCAGCATTGCAGCAGCCAATAAGATGGAGAGCGACAGTATGATGTAGAGCGCTCCATTCACCGTCATGATCACGTAGCACGCGAGAGGAAACACCAGCCATGGAACGAAAAACGCGAGCTTGTACACGTTGTCTTCCAGAGTTTGTTTCTAAACATTAGGATCATGAGTTTAAAAAATTGTAGATATAATTCACCTGTGTCTGCATTAAACACGTACCGGAATCGACGTAATTCGAGCAAGATTTTGCAGCTGCTCGTCCTCAGTTAGGAGATGACGCACCGTTGAGTCCGGACGTAGACGAACTCGCGCAATGCCTAAGGCAGTGAGTCCTTCCTTGTTTACTATAGTCGTCTCAGCCCTCACGTCAAGCAGCATCCGCACAGCCATAGGAATGTTGTTCATGACTGCGTGATGGAGAGCTGTCAGCAGATAAAAATCACAATAATTAGACAGGATACTCTAGTAAAACTAAAAT